TGTATATATGTATATGTGTATTGTGTATATATATATATATATTATATATATATATATATATATATATATACACAATTCACCACACCCAGGGGCAATAAGTTTTAGTTCTAAATTTAATAAGTTTTAGTTCTAAATTTAATATTTATATTTCATTAATACAATACACGCATTTATACTAATTTGTTATATAACCTCCATTTAAGTTTTATCACTTACCAAATAAAAGTAATGTTTCCTGAATAGAAGGTATTTCAATTAGGACTAGACGTTCAAATCACTGACATGAATTCCCTATTTATATCTTAAACTTGTTATCTTAGATCTCGTCTTGCATAAAAAAGGAGTTAGTTTTATTATAAATAGAAATAAATAGCACACTATAAATATCTTATCTGGCTGTTAAAAGCGCAAACGATAGATTACATAAAGATTTGAACATCCCAACAATTTCAGACACTGCAAAAAAAAAAAAAAAAAGAAAACTACAACTTTCACCAAAGACTAACTTACAACACAAATCCTCTGACAGAAAACTCGACCCCCTCGACGATTACGTAGGCGATGGCTAAGAGACCTCATGAACTGAACCATGTCCTGGATTGCAATGGAACGCTGTGAAGCTGCCTTTGCTCATTGCAAAGAAATTTGCAGTCCGCAAATTTAATTTTTTATGTTCAATTTTATATTATGTATTAATAAATAAAAAAAAAAGCGATCTATTATGACAAGTGGAATAAATTTATGTAAATATTTAATTATTAATTTTTTAATAATTTTATTTAAATATTTTTTATTTATTCAAAATCAAATATTTCTTACAGTGATTCATCGATGTTTCGAATCAACACTGAATTGAAATGGTCCTATAATGCTCTTTACTATTAGAAGAAAGCAGCCTCAGACAAATTTGTTTAGCATTTAAAAAGAAGATCACTTGCTTTGTCTTTTGATGAAATTGTACAAAGGCCGTCTTTTAATAAAAAACATTACTTGAATTTATTGTATATCAGTTGGAAGGAAACCGTATTTCAGAATCTGTGCATTCCATCCAAGTTGTGAGCGATCATTCAGTAACTTAAAATTGACATTTTCGTATTTGAGGGTTACAATGGATCAAGAAAGGTAATGGTATCTTGATTCGCGCAGTGTAGAACGAGAAGAAACGAATGTTTCTGATTTCGAAAATATCATCGATGTGTTTTCATCGTAGATGGCCAGAAAGGTACAAATAGAAGTGACACAGTTAGTTATGAAATAAAAAATAAATATCTTTTGTATGATTTATTACTGTTTTATTTAGTATATCTGTTTTTAAATAAGGAAATAATTTACACAGTGGGGCCCAACTTTGATGCATGCCCTAGCCAACATTTTAGAATGGTTCGCCTCTGTATAGGCTACTTATTATATGTCGTTATTATGGAGAGTCATTAATCTGAAGAGTTAATCAGTTTCAGGTAAATTGGTGACTTATGAGGTAGTAAACTGTTACTTTAACATCCTCATTAAAATGAATGTAGTTCACCCATCAAGTCTTGTTTGGATCGCTTACACTTCCTATTTACTAATGTGAAGAAGGGTAGTCCCTCGCGACAGTTCTGCGCATGCGCTAGCGTTTGTTAAACAATCATTATTTCGTCTCCTATAAAACGTCTTTATTACTAGTGAACTTATTCAAGTTTGATGTGAAAAAAATAGTGTAATATATTGTATTAACTATTATGTTTGAAACTTAACATAAATAAGGCGAGTAATCACTTCTTTATAACTGAGCAGTGAACATTGCTAACAGATATCAGTTAATGGTTGATAAGTGGCCGGCCATTTGAATCCGATCAGTGGCCACTGGCCTTTGCTGGAAGCAGGTCTTTGCCACCCAGTATTTTTTCAAGCACGCTTTTGGAATAATGATAATATGCGTTATTATCGTATGCTAATATCACATAAGCGCAACAATAACTGATCTAGGAGTTCGGTAGACAAGATCGAACAACAACCCGACACGTCAACTCAGGTCATGGCAGAAGAATCAATTTTTATTTTTTTTATTCTCATATTTCTTTATATAATTGGTCATTTATAAACTATCTTGTACCGATTACATAATTTTAATGTGTCGAAACAACCATAGCTAAAAAAAACCAAGGGGTACTGTTAAAATTAAAAAAAAAAATACCTCTAAATGAAAAGTTTGAGGAAAAGAGAACGTTATCTATATAAGAGAATTCATTTTATAAATGGTTTAGTATGGCAACATTCATCTGTGTAATTTTAATCTTGAGCCCTTCATAGCTGAAAAGGGTTAGGCAGGGCCAATAATTTAGCATATTTCTATTTATTTTACTTTGACTCACGTCAAAGGTTGGCTTGGATCAATTTACTCTAAAGCTATTCCCTAGCAGTTTTCCTTTAATCGAAGGGTAACGCTTTTGTTAATAGTATTTACTCTACCTTTTTTTATTTTGCTTTGTATAACCTAAGCATTATCAATCTTGGTAATTAGATATTAACGTGTGAGTTAACAATAGATTAAAATATGATTTAAAATTCAATATAAGAAATCGGACATAAATCGAAAATTTATGTGATAGTTATCGTCTTCCAAATTGTAGCCATTCGTGCAGTTGGTGTATATCTCAATACTCATAAAATTAGTAAAATAAGACGTTAGTACATAACATAACGATTTCATATATTTTACTTGTAATTTATAGAAATAATTTCAGGCAGAGTTGGGCTTTAGCGAGCTAATTTTTAACTAGCTAACGTTCAGCTAAAATTAGCGGCGCTAAATATGAAGCTGATTTAGCTTATAACTGTTTTAGCGCAGTTTACTTTACAGCTAAATTAGCTATTAGCGGAAACGAACAGCTAGCTTTTAGCTTAAGCTAAATTAACTTTTAACTTGACTAAAAGCTAATTTAACGCTAACACTGGTGGAAAATTTATTGATTTCATTTCATTAATTGATATTAGGATCGATTGTGATGTAATAGGGGCGCTTTTTATGAAAATACTATCGGATTTGTATTTGCCTCCCCCTCCCCCCCACCCACAGCATCTTTTTTGAAAGTTTTTGGATTTAACCGGTTTGAGGGCCGACTAATATGTTTTGGGGGGGCTTCATGTGTGCTCCCCAGTCTACGTCTTACCAGCAATCCAGTCCTTCTTTGTTTGCTGTTCCTACGAACTGCTCCCAAATCATCTTCACTGACCTCTTAACTGAACACTCTTTTCTAAAGAAGTCCCCTTACAGACTCCCTGTTCCTTAAAAAAATATTCGCAGTTCAATCCCCCCTCTTCTTTACAAGTCATTCATATTGAATATTTTCTGGACTATACCTTCCATCCTATTTTTTGGTAGAAGTTTTGAATCGGTTCGGCTTCTTTTGATCTAAAGAAATATGCAAAGTTTATCTTTATACCCGGCGGAATAATACCTCCGAGATAAAGGCCCACAATTATCAAAAGTATCCTGTGTTGGCAATATTTAATTTTTCCTGACTGAACTGACTTTACTTAATTATAGCTATTGAAGTGTATTTCGATTCATATATCCGCATCATCGATGCATAGCTATTAACGCGGTAGCTTGATAATGAAGTAATAAATTTTGTTTAAAGGAATATGAGAAGGAGGATTAATTTATGAAAAATTAATAACCAAATTCCAGGTAGCACAAATGACAAAATATTTACTGAAGGAAGCGGACTTATAAGAGAGAATATATAAATCGTAGGTTGAGATCATTTCTTTTGAGAGAGTAAACAGTGGAACGTAGGGTGAGGTGTTCTGTGATGTAGGTTTTTTGATCCTAAAGGTCTGGAAGAGAAAAATACCTAGACGTTATTGCCGCCTGAAAGCAGGATAAATTCACTTCAACTCAATACAGGATCGGAACTCTTAGGTTCTTCACACTCGAGAGAAAATAAATACTGGTTATTGGAGTAAAATAGAACTAAGAGAGGGTATGAACAAAGTACTTATATCCGATAATGATGAATATATGTAAAAATAGTGAATAAATATGTTATTATTTAAACAGAAGATTCATTTTCGTTGATATTATTTCAATAGTTTAAAACAGTTCATTCAAAGATAATTAACATAAATAAAATGAGTGTAAAACGATAATCCAAAACAGCACAGGGCAACTGTTTTCTATCTTGGTTTGACCCAGTACTCTTGTCGAACAAAAAAAAAATCTTTTCAAACTTGTATTGAAAAAAAAATCTCAATCTTCTTTTAATGTCCTTGTTATATTAACTTCATTGTGCAATATAAAAACTAAATAAAATCTTACCGAAATAACATCTTATAGTTCATTTTAATTCTGTTATTAGGATCTCTTTTCATCAAATTGACATTAAGTATTAAAAAATAAGCATTACTTTCGCAGCACCTAGTTTGAGAACTGCTGGCATAGAGGACAGAATATGTAAATTACACCACTTAATCCTAATGTCTTTAGAATTGTTTCGGTCTTTCTACATGTTTTAACCCTTTATTATCAGTCCCCTCCCCACACAAACACACGCACACACGCATTGCAGGTACGACCCTGGAGAAGATAGTATGTGGCTGAATAACCAATTTTATTTAGGAATTGGTAGTAACCATAATGGTTTTCGAAATCAAGCCCAACGATTGATACAATATATTATATAGATTTATATCTAGTCCTGTCATAAATATTGTTATAAGGAAATATATACAGATTTCAACAAACAAATTATTTTCAAAAACTTTATTAGAAAATAAAATTTATATCTAAAGAGAGTAAAACTAAGAAGACATTACTCAATTTTTTCTCATTTTGTCTTAAAACAGGCATTTAATCTCAGTGGCCAATCATCAATAGCAGCATGCAGCACTTCTTGAGGAAACTGATCTGACCAAAGACTCTTTGAGGCTTTCCAAGTTAGGGTGTGTTCTGCAGCATGCTATCCTCTCCAGTTCAGACTACAGACGGTAATCTAGTGGGTTGAGATCAGGCCTTCCTATGGGTTAAGGAGAGATGAACTCTGAAATGTTCTTTTGCAGTCACTGCTGAGTTGACCTGCCCTTGTGATCTGTAGCGGAATCCTGCTGCAAAATCCAATGACTTCAATGACAGCAAACAGAATATCATTTATAGGCTTGACAGCAGGTTCCAATATATAGTCCTGATAGTTTTTAGCGGCTGTTAACTCCTCCACAAAAATGGAGCTTTGTGGTTCCATCAAAGCAAAATCTTCACCGAACCATCATTGAGGAAGGGCGGCGACCACTTTCCACTCTTCCAATGACTTCCTGGGCTTCTTTGTGCGCACACACGATCATTTTGGCGATCAAAGTTTTCTTCAATTGTAAAAATTATCTCATCTGAATGTTTAAATTCTGTGCTGGGGAAATATATATTTTTTCAATTATCAAGAATGTGCTCAATTAACTCTAAAGAGCATACATACATTATGTTGTCTGAAAAGAAAAAAAAAAAATATATGCGAGCTATATTTTAAGCTGTGCTAAACGTGATGCAGGCCTTCACCTTCTGGTATAATTAATTTTGGCGAGTCAGGACTGCTCGATATGAGATTCCAGCTGGAGTCAGCCTTACCTCCAGCGAATCCGGTTTCCCTTGCGCCTTTAAATAGCAGCCCTAATTGTTTTATTGAATACCTCCCGTTTCTAATTAATAGATGTTGAAGTTAGGATTTCTCTATTAATGTATATAATATAATTTAGGAATTCATTTATTATAAAAAAATAATTGACTATATATAAAGCATTATATATACGCGCGTGTGCGTGTGCTTGTGTGCGTGCGTGTGTGTGGTGTTGTGTGTGTTTGATAAATGTTGGCCAAGATATATGTTGCCCCTTAAATGTTAAATAAAAAAAAAACGAAACCATGTTATTGACAAAGGTATAGAAAATATAAAAGAATGGACAGTTCTGACGATAACAAAGATATTCCAGAAACGTCAACTTTGTAATAATGTAAAGGAAGGTGATGGTCCGGGGTGGCGGTCATAAATAGGCTGAATAGTGGCAAAACTACTTTATTAAAAGTCAACATTTCGACCCGACTTTGCTGGTCTTCTTCAGGGCTAGAACGGGCAAGATACAAAAAGATAGAGAATTGTGGAAGTTACATAATATTATGACAAACAATTATAAGAAATGTGAATAAGCTTATTAAAATTAAAAACAGTTAGCACATTAAAATATAAACAGAGTACGCTAAGTAACAAGATCCTAAACTGAAGTAAATAGATGGTAACAATTGTTGTACTGTAATATGTAATATATGAAAATGTGAATATATTTCTACAGATCTACAGGAGAGATTGAAAGAAAAGGAAAAACGATATAATATGAAATAATTGACATAAAGGAACGTGAATTAAGAAGAAAAAAAAAGAAAATAAATAAATAAATAAGTAACATTAGATGAATAAAAATAGAGACTTACAGGTGTGTTCAGCTAGGAGTTTCACATAGAACTAGAAAATTAGGGTAAGGGCAGGTATTGGGGAATTTGCTGACTTGTTTGGGTAATGTGGAAAATCCTAGCATGTAATATGTATATAACAAATAAACTGAATATATTGTCACTAAGGGAATTATCTTTGCCAATTTCACTACAAACCTAAAAGTTTACAATAAAAGAAGAAAAAAGTATAATATTCGAACGAATTTAGCTTATTATTTTATTAAATGTGAATGCGTTATCTCCTAAACATATTTTTCTTTTTTAAGATCAATACTACTACTTTAGTAGTATTTACTAATAGTATGCACAAATCAATTCGTGAATAATAAAAATTAAATTTTTTTTTTAATTATAAGTATTTTATCGCTTGCCAATAAGTATGGAATTAATCAATTTCCATCGAAATTCTCTATGGCAAGACTGAAATAGCAGCGTACGAGCGAAGGCTTTGGTATCTCCGATAACGAAGTTCCACCTTCTAAAAACATTTACACCTCGCCGACCTGAGAACTCAGGCCCTCCAAATAAAAAAATTCCTCTTCAACAAGATATTTCCGATCATACACCTTCGTACTTTAACGATTTCATTAAGTTGATTCTGTAATAACAAATAAAAAATATACGTTACACTACTAGAGCCACTTAACTAGAGTAAATGCATTAAAGGTTATAAAAAGATCTTTACACATCCATGAAATATTTTTTATATTTCACTTCTTTACTTTGTAATCTTATAGTATATTAGTTTTACGATTTTTTTTTATGAACTGATATTGTGTGAATTGATCATTACAAAATTTCTAAAATAAATAAGTAACTTAATTAAATCTTCGAATTTTCCAAAGGTATTTTTAATTAATTAATAAAATTAATAATTTCAAGGAAATAATATTATTGAACACTTTCACCACCTCTCAATGCTTCAATTCATTTTATTTATATTTATTTCGACAACGTTACGTGCCAACTTTGCCCATTTTCAAGTCGAACTTTTTATCTAAAATATTACAATAAATTAAACACAAATATATATGAAAAAGATGCACAGTATAAAACTGCACATACAATAACAATCTATAAAATTCATAAAATCAACTTAATGAATAAAATATCTACTTACATCATTATATTATCTTCATATTCTTATAATTCTTCTTATAAGGAAGAAGGTGTGAAAGTGAACATACGTAGTTGAAGGTGATATCCACCGAAAAATGGATCCCAACCCAACTACAAGTGTTGTGGTAAGGGACGAAAGGATGGACTTAATCGACGCTGCTTGTGGTGATGCTTGGGCATTGGTAACGGGTAAAAAAAGAAATATTCCTAATGAATCTAGGGATCCGAGAAAATACAAAAAAACCGAAACAGAAAATGCAACGCCAATATCTGTAAGTAATTCTTATGAAGTACTTAATACCATTACCGAAAATGAACAATCCGCAGTAAATGATCAAACAAACGAAAAACCACCACCAATACACATAAACGACGTTCAAAATTATCAGGCATTAGTCCTATTCCTTGAAAACAACGCAGCTCCAAATTCTTTTTTTCTGAAAACAACTATCAAAGGTGTAACAGTTTATCCGAAAACACCTGACGTATACCGTAAACTAGTGAGTAATCTTAGAAATGGAGGTGCTGAATTCCACACATATCAGCTACCTGAGGACAAAAATAGAAGATTGTTATTAAAAATTTGCACCACACCACCCCAATCTCAGAAATCAAAAATGATTTAGAAAAACATGGTTACATTGCAACAAACATCACAAATGTATACTCTCGATTCAAAAAACCTTTGCCCATGTTTTTCATAGACATAACAAAGGCTACTTTCAATGAAAAAATTTATGAAATTGAATCAATTTATTATACAAAAATTGTTGTAGAGGAGCCTCGAAAAAAAAAGAATTATACCTCAGTGTATAAGATGCCAACAATATGGTCATACAAAATCATATTGCAACCATTCTCCACGATGTGTTAAATGTGGCCAAGGCCACGAAAGTGTATCCTGGTTAAAGACCAGGGAGACAAAGGGAACCTGCGCAAACTGCCTTGGAGACCACCCGGCCAACTACCGAGGATGCCAAGTCCTGAAGGATCTGAGGGCGCATAGGAGAACAGCAAGAACCAACCATCCTCCTATATCCCCACCTCTCCCTCCACCACCAAGTTTCGAAGAATTTCCGACTCTTCAGCAGCCTTTGCGAAAAGAGCAGCCAATACAAAAAAATACTTCGCAGATAGCTACGCCAGCTCAGTTGCAGGAACCATCAAGAAACCAGATGAGAAGAAGAGAAAATGCTACTACATCTGCTCACATCAAACCATCATGTTCAGGTATGTGGTGGGAAACTACTCAGCAGCCACCTTCAGCTGAAAATAATGCCCCACCTCAGTTGCTCCAATTACTCAATGGTTTAAACTCCCTCATACAGCCCCTGTTTAGTATCCTCCAACAGCTTGCACAGGTGACTCAAGCCATGTATCCACAAAATGGCCGCTAATCAGCTGATTGCAGGCTCTTTGTCCATCCTTCTGTAGAGACATGGCCACAGCTGACATACCTCAGAACATGAGCAAGAGACTAAAAAGGCGTTGGATGAGGGATCTCCTTCCTTAGACAACCTAAGTAATTGGAACAAGTTAGGGAAGAGGTACTGCTGAGTACTTTCCTTCTCCATGCCTGTCATGTCATTATATCATTATCGTCATCACATTTGCTGATTGTCAACTTATTGTTGACAGGCGCAAATATATATTTTATAGACAAAAAAAAAAAAAAAAAAAATATTCTTCAACAATTAATTTTAAAACTATTTATGAAAAGTCTATTCAACAATTACAATAAAGGTACTGAAAATTAACAATACATCTCAAATAAGAAAGGCCAAACAACGAATTTTTCAACATTTTACCGTACTATTTCATAAATTGCCTTTGGACACGTCTCACTAGTTAAACTTTTTTTTTTAAAATTCATTCAAATGCTATACATTTTCATCCGATCTTTCTAATAGCCTTATGTCCACTGTGATCTGTGGGCTTACATATCATTATACTCTTCGGTATTAAGAGCACTGCATTATTTTAATGCTTTAAGATTCATATTATTGATAATCAATTTTGCTGAAATGATTATTTAAATTACTTTAATTTAATTAAAATTCTGATTTATTAATTATGTCTAGATAGTGCTGCCCTTAATATCCGTTTTGAAATTAAGCACATCTTTACTATTTTTAGATATATAGATAGGTTCAAGATACTTTCTTATTTTATTATCTTCCGCTCTATTTAAAATCTCCATTTTATCATTATCAAACATATGATTATTCCAGATACTATGCCTTACTAGAGCTGTGACATTGATATTTTTCGGGGTTTTGGTATTTATTTTTGCATTGCTTACAATTAATTTTATAAATTACATTTTGTTTATTCTCTTTTTTTAATTTAATCCTTCATATTTGTTTAATTTATTATTATTATTATACACACCAAACTTTATATTGTTATGGTCATATTTTTTGTATGCATGTTTAATTTTATTAGTTATTCCTGGTATATATTTCAATTTTAAAAAAACTGCTCATTTTCTATGATTTAAGAAAAAAAATCCGTTATCAATCTCCCAGTTTTTTAGTTATAACACTTTTTTAATATTATAATTATAGCTTTTTAAAATATTTTGTTCATTAAGGCACTTATTACTTTTATTAGCATTATTCATCT